TGGGAGAAGTTCCAGCTAATTCATCCTTGGTAGCCAGGTGTGCATAGCCTTTCTCCTGATATTCGTCGATCTGCTTGCAGACGTTTTTGTGTAACTCCGGATTCCTCTCTAGACGCCTCTCAAGCTGCTTCATTCTTCTGACGGCCATATGGAAACTTTCCGGGAACCGTGGATCATCTGTTTTCCACAGTAGACCGGTTTCAAAGCGATCGCCGATCCGTTTGGTCATCCGCTCGAGAATTTCCCGTGCTCGTTTATCCTCCGTAGACTCTTGTTGTACAACCACCACCGATTCCTCCAGAGCGTAATGGCTTTTAAGCAGTTCGTGTAGGTCCTCGTTGGTGATTCCTTGGTGGTATCCTAAGTAATTTCCCGCTGCAACCGTGGTGGAGTGCCTTGGACCGTATACCGTCCATCCAAGTTTACACCGAACCGCGATCGGATCTGCCGGTGCACCAACCTTCGCCTCTATTGGAGCAAACGAGTGTATATTGTTCAGTCCGATGAGTAGTTCCGGTTGCCCGTCGTACGACTCGATTGACAATCCTCGCATGTGGTGATATTGTGTGGCAAGCTCTTTGAAATCCAGCCTCTGGCGTGGCATCATCAGTTTTCCAACCGTACGGACACTATGCAGCAGCAGCTTGTTACCCGCATCGGCACTAACACCCGACGCCCACAGATTCATCCGCCGGGACTCCTTCTCTTCGCGCGTGATATCGGCCGTCCACTTGATCGTCGATCGCTCCTGTACTCCGACGACGCCCAGCCGATCAGCTAGTTTCTTCTCTACCAACGTGACGGAGGCACCCTCGTCTAGAAACGCTAGCACCGTGATCGATTTTCCACCACAGTGGAGCTGTACCGGAACCATACGGAACATGACCGTGCAGTTGGAACGAATATGTGCGCTCATTCCAACAGCGTTTCTCACTGGATGCATCAGCGGATCGTGGAACTCCCTGCAATCGCCGACGTTACAGCGGATTTTAAACTTGCAATGCCCTCCATGATCATTGAGGCAAACGTTGCATAGTTTGTCGCGAGTTCCTACCTTCATCCGGTCCGCATACCGAGCTTCCTGAAATCCGCGCAGTGCCGAAGACGGTGTTCCGTGCTGTTACATTGATTGCATGGCTTCAATCTTTTCCGGTCGTTCGAACTGGGACCTGGACTATTGGCTTCGTTGTGGCAGTACAGCGCACCTTTCTCCTTCGGCGTCTTCTTCCAGGACGATGGCACACTTTTCGACTGGTATGATGGCTTGAAATCGATATCGACATTGGCCTCGCAAGCGTCCGACACGATGTCCATCAGGAAATCCGTTAGCGTTCGTAGCGTTGGTTCCTTCTTGCCTCTCCAGTAGTGAACCTATTCACGCTTTTCCCGATCGGGTAGTTTGGCAACCAGAGATTTTATCAGAAGCGGGTTGATGAGATGATCTCGAAGTCCCGCGGCCTCCAGAGCAACTCTGCGGCTCCACAGTGTTTCCAAATGGGACAAAGCTCCGCAGGTTATCCGCTTTTGGAGGTTCCCGCTGGTTCACTTTGTCTAGAAGACTTTGAAGCAGTTGCTCCGGACGGCCGTAATGTCTGCGAAGTTTCTCGATGACCTTCGGAATAGATTCTGGAAGAAGCAGCTGACCAGATACCAGCTCGAGGGCGTCACCTTCAAGGGCTTCCTGCAATCGCATCAGGTTCTCGTGGTTCATGTAACAACATGCATCGTTGGATGCTTTGTAGGCCGCGTGAAACAATAACCATTGCGCTGGATTGCCCGAGAATTTGGGAAGTTTGTACGTTAATCCCTTTCTCGCGGCCAGCTGGGCTTTTGTCGGTCCGATCCTCTTAACCTTTTTCGGCTTCACGATTTCCTCTTCCAGGGATGCTTCGGATAGGCTTGTATCATCGGATTCGTCGTCGTCTTGATCGTCCTCATCGTCAGTTTCTTCGTCGTCTTGCTCGTCGGTGTATTCGTCGTCATAGAGTAGCTTCTTCACGTTCTCCTTACTCAGCTTCAACTGGTTTTTGTTGTATTTACCGCTAGGTTCCGCTCGTATCTTGTTTCGGACTACTTTATTTACTACGGGCTTTTTGACGGCCGAAAGCCCTGCTAACTCCTGATCGAGACCCGCCATTTGTTCCTCGAACGATTTCTGGTTCGCCTTCATCCGCTTGATCTGCTCCATCTTCTTCTTGAGCATCTCCGCTTGCCAAGCCTTTTGCTCCTTTTCTTCTTCCGCGCGCATCTGCAGCTCCAACTCCATCTTCTTACTTTCGAACGCACGCTGCATCTCCCTTTCCTTTTTTCGCAGCTGCATCTCCACCGCCAGCTCTTCGTATTGCTTCTTCTGACGTTCTTCTAGCGCCCGCACTTTTGCCTCCACGCTAGACGCCCCTAATCGAGAGTTGACGCTGGATTTGTCAGACTCGTCAGTTTGCTTCTTGCTCCGAGCCTGCTTCTTAGCGTCCTTCTGCTTTTGGTACTCCTGGGCCTTCTCCTGACAGGCTTTACTATGGCAGTACCACTTCTTCATCGATTTGCCCTCCGAGATGCCCACGCAACGGGAATGGAACCATTCGGAACACCCGTCGCAGCCGATCATCTCTTCCGCGCACATTTATGGACCGCAAATCCCACACGGAGTTTCCGTGAGATTAAGGACGGTTTTGTCCTTCACGGATTCGGAATCGGACGTGATTTTGTGGCAGGTCCGACTTCTCACTTGGACACTTTGAGTGTCACTTTGTTTTTAAGAATGTTCCCGAAGGGAAACCAAATTTTTAAAGCAGCAACTTTTTTTGATGCAACACTTAAACTGTAATTTATTTATCATCAATAAATAATCATAATAATAATTAAGTAAATTACTCACAACAAAGTGGTTTCCTTTACCACTAGACTCCGTTGTCTAATTTCCCTCAATTTGGCGAACTTGAGTACCGCTACCCTAACCGTAATCTGTTTGGTGGGTTTTCTGGGAGAAACACAATCAGGTAAGTAAACGAATTAATCTCACTTCTTCTCACTACTTACAGTTTTGAACCACGATTTGAACCGACTGATTCTTGTTGCACTACCTGTTAGCTAATTGCGAAATTGAACTCAATAAACCACTTTTACTGTTGAATTTAATTGCTACAAATTGCACCGTAAACAACCGACTTTTGTTGCAATGGCGAACTTATGCTTTTCTATCTGTTTTGTTTTGTTTTCCTTATGTACTATTTCCACTATTTGTACTTTCTACTACTACCACTCTAGCGCGCGATCTGTCATGCTGCAGCTATGCTCGTTATCTAGGGGTGTCGAAGCGGCGTCTCAACAATAACAATAACAATAATAATAATTTTTTTAATATCATTATATTTTTCCTAAAAGTATTTATTACCTTTCATTTGATATTTTGATCTTTAAAATCGACGCAGTGTTTCAAAAGGTATGAATTTTTTTATAAAGTAATTTTTGAGGAAAAAATCGATTTTTTGGACCACCCTAACATGGAAATAGTCCCCTAATAAAAAAAATAAAAAGAATATGGGTCTAATATTTTGCGATAACGAACAAAATTACCAGTTTTTACGAAATTCTGAGAACCACTATATCGTTTTTGCTATGGAATGGCTGTATATGGGGTATGATCCATTCTATATAATGCAACAATCAAATCATTTGTTCAATTACAACCAATTACAATCTTAATAGATTTTTAATTGACGGCAGGTAAAGATAAACTGAATTTAAGTTAACTTAAATAAGTTTCAGTTCGATGTCACCTGTCTATCATAGTTCTACTACATAAAGATGTGTGATGTCAGGTGCGCTTTGATTTCTAAAGTTGTTTTGGCATGACTAATATTAGTATGTTTCTGAAAGTTGGGTGAACATGCTTGGAATAATAAAGGAACTGATTTTCTAATTTCAAATATTTAATCTTAATTTTAGGATTTATTCAATAACCGCTCAATTTCATCATAAATTTCAATAATGGAGTCCTACGTCAATGCGATCGTACTTTGGACACAACCCTTAACTTTTTATTTGTTATTTATTTGTATTCCATTCTGCACTTCCAATCGTAATCAAAATTTACGATGGATTTAATATCCCGTTTGAATCATGTCGCCGGGCTTGAACGATCATCGCAGTGGTTTTTTTTATGATGTGAGAACTCGGTGACCTAGTTGCAACCTTTTTTGCTTTCTGAGTGAAGTATCATAGGCTCGATTGTGGGCTCAATCCTGGGGTTCCTGATTATATAAATCTGAGCAACACGTCGTTTGTTTTTGTAGAAAATCACTATTGATAGAACTCTGACAAAAACGATGTGAGCAAAAAGCAAATATTCTCGGTAGAATATGACGTACGTACGATCCGGGATTCGAAAACATAAGGGAAATGGGTGTAATGTTGGCCTAAATGCCCCTAATTTGGGCCGAAACATAAATTCAGCAATCGACTAAAATATCCATTAGTACCGTCCCAATGACGAGTTCATCTAGATAAAATTGATATACGAAAGTTAGAAGATATTGAGAGGTAAGCACATATCATCGGTAAGAGACGTGTGTGTGAGAAAATTTGCGAAAAAATCTAAGGGCACCGGTGGGATTGCCCTTAGATTTTTCACAAATTTTCTCACACACTCGTCTCTTACCGATGATATGTGCTTACCTCTCAATATCTTCTCACTTTCGTATAAACAAATAAAATTGACTACAAGTCGTTAACCGTAATCGATAAAATTGATAAAAAGCAGATTTTTAGCGATGGACCAAATCTTAGATCCATAGACCAACATTAGAGCCATTTCCCCTAGTTGACTCTTCCCAAAGACGTAATTTGAGTAGTTTCACGAACGTCGGTCGGAGTGCTGTATTGAGATGTAATGTTCTAAATTCCATATGAATCTTAGATAGGATTTCAACCGAAATCCGAAGCCTGAATGATTGAAACTGATATTCGTAATGACTGACTGGTGCGATTCCTTTCCATTCCAGAAACGTCCATCTTCACGGTGGAAGGTGTGTACCTGCATCCGGAGCCGAACCGCCACCATCAACACCATAAATGAGAGTTAAGACAAAGTAAAACCCTAGATGCAATACGTTATTATTGTTAGTAGTGAATGCACGTGCACAATGTGCCACCCCTGTTCTGCGTTCTGTGATCATGAAACATAAAAACAAAAGTGTAAGAAAGAAGAAATGTGTGAAATGTGAATTTACTAGAGAGGAAACGCCGCGATGAAGCAAAACACTATCCGCGATGGATTCAACTTGCTGCAACTAGCAAATGCGTAACGCAATTGTTATAGAAAGTTGAAACATACTGAAATGAATTAAATAAATACTGAGTATTGCTAAGAGAGACAGCTGTGGGAAACTCTGTGGCAAAAACACGACAAACGAAAGAGGGAGGAAAACTCACTTTGAAGTAACAATTTTCCGATGAAGGAACACTCTGAACTAGGCAAAACGAGGACCAGCGTACGGCGCAACGAGTGGAGTAATTCTGCCATGCTACCCCTTAGGGACATCCACATGTGCTGCTGTCCGTGCAGAATGCTATATCAAGTTAACTAGCTAATCAGTAATTAACCACCTAACTAAAGAGGCAACCTACACCTACTGAGTATCTATGTAGTAGAGTTGTTGAGTAGCAGGAAACCAACCAGTAGATATGAGATGAAAAGAAAACAAAATCATGTCCACTCACACGCATTTCGATTGCAATTTTAACTATAAATCGATCGTCATCAAACAAAACAAAGAAAGCAAAACATCAAAATCATCATCAGTAGTGGCGCAAATCTAGGTCGACTTTCATTCTATTCGTTTTTAAAAGCAATAGTGCATATAGTTTTTTTTTACATTAACCTTATTAACGCAAAGCAAATGTATTAATATGTTGGATTATCATTTTTTTATTAATTCTCCACATCCAACGTTCCCAAATGGTTTAGTTTTAGTTTATTTTTAAATTACATCTTTGAACTAGGTTGGAGTAGAGGAGAATGTATTAAGCCAATAAAATTTCACTGTGAATTGTGCACACCACATATATATACGGCAAACAAGCAGGTATCGTTCATCAGTTCCTGTTGATGAGATCTCACCCGGAACTGAGGAGACATTGTTTAAAGCTAGGAAGCAGGATTGAAACGTGATTTCATTAAAAGAGGAAAAACTAAACAAAAGCATTCATTTTGAGAGTAATGTCTCCATTAGTTGTTTCATTTCATCATTCGTGCTCGTGAGTCGAACGAAACTATATACCTAGGTGTCAAATTGTGTTTGTCATGTTCAGGCACGCTCGAATAAGCTGTTGAACAGCTGGTAGTAGAAATGAAAGAAATGCGTTTAGGAAACACATTATAGAAAATCGCAGGTTGCAACCGGGAAAGCGGTGATCCTTGACCGATGGGGCTCGTTAGAAGTGTGTGACACTGAGGTACCAATGCAGGCACTTCTTTTACTGCCAGTGGACGCATAACTGTTCTATGAACTTTCATATACATATGAAACAAGTATGCCTCCACCAACAGACAAGTAGTCTTCCATTGGGATGAGAACCTGTTCACTGTTGTAAAGCTAGAAAGTGAGCTTACCTGCCACCTAGATTTTTGGAGTTTCAACCGAGTTTTGTGAAGTATTTCGTTCGCAATACTAACTATTTAAAGTATGCAATGTTGAAACCCTCTAGAATGCCAACACATCAAGAAAACTGGCAACTCTGCCAGAATCCAAGAGCCAAGTACAGCTAAGATAAAGATACATCAACTGGCTTCTTTGTAATCTGTTCTTCTTCTCTCACGAAAACGACACGGCCTACTGTCAAGAAAATAGAAATCCATCAATCAGGAGCTGGTTCACGTTCGACAGAAAAATGGTCGTTGTTGGGTTTTATCTTCTAGCTTTTTTTATTATCGGCGTACCATCCCAGTGCAAAATCGAACTTTTTGTCAGTGTGAACCTCGATCTGAGGTAGGTTTGCAAAACAAACCATCAAACTGACGTTTGTCAGAAAACAAGCAGATCCAATCTTGATACCCGATCCAGGTTGGAACTGAATAAAAAAATCGCTTTTAGATTGTGCCTGTCTCATTGCAGCTGTATAAGCTGTGTGAGAAAACAGAAGAGTTGCCAATCTTCTTGATATGTTGTCTTCGATGTAAATAATTCAAATGTGTTCGATACCTCGTTCGATACTATAAGTTCTAAATTAATTTACTAATTGCGTAGTCTTGCATAATTTCCTGCAGCATTCCAAGCCTTATTTCAAGACCAATCTTGAATTGAATTTATTAAAAAAAAAATGTCCCAAAAAAAATCATTTCTTTAGACAGACGAGACAATGTATTCGTCTCACTAAATTGTCACAATAGCATGTCCCTATCGGTTATGAATCACTGCTAGAATCGGAAAACAAATGGCGATAAGTGTGGATGCGCTAGAGAAAGAGCGATTGGTAGATACAGTAGAATGAAGTTATTTTTTACATTATTAAATGATTTTTAGAGGACAAACAACAAAAGAATTAGAAAGAAATTTATTGAAAAACTCAATAAAAAAAAGAAATCTTCATTTGTAAACATTTTGTTTTCTCAGTTTCTTTTCTTTTTGTTTCTAACTTTCCGAAAGCTTTTTGTTGAACATTTTTATTACAAAACAGAATCATACATATTTTTGCGCTTAAAAACGAACGAGAGGCACGTTAGAGTGATGACACAGCAACCAAACAAACCCCTCAGGGACTGAATATACGATTGACGTTTTACTGTGTATATTTTTTACCGAAGTTAAATTGGAAGCTTTTTGAGTGAAATTAATTGAAACTCCTATTAAAGAACACAAATTCCTCGAATTTAGATGAGTATCAGAACGAAAACCAATTCTTAACCAACTGTTGATTGAGTTTTCCCATCAATACGGTAGGTATTGTGTAGTTGTGACTTTAATCCATCAGTAGAAACCAAGACAGAGAACTACTCAAATTCTTACTCTCGAAGTTAGCTTTTTAGAACATATTCACATTCCCGTCAAACGTCTAGAAATGTTAAACTTCTCAATCAATTAGGCAATACATTAGTAAACGAATTTCGCCTGGAATAAAGCTAGAAAATAGCATAGCATAGGTTTCCTCTTCTTTCCACGCGTTCCTGTAGTGTAGTCCATATACCTACTATAGACCAGTCAAGTGATGAGTTACGTTTACTTTCATTGCTCAAGTTTTGTTGACGTTCATAAACAAATAAATCTTTAAAAAAAGAAAGACATTACCGCATTAATGCTAGATTGTAGAGAACCAAGCAACAACAACAAGGAGAACTAGTAACAAAGTAACAAAAACCACAATTAACTGAAATCAAAATTTAGAAGAAAATAATTGGAGAAGAAAGAAGAAAACAAAATGGTAGCCGAAAACTATTATTCAAACTTTTAGCTAGAGTTGCAAAACAGAGTAGAAGTTATCTCAGGCCGACGGACTTTGCGGAGGCGTTGGTGAAGCAAAGTGTGAAGTGATTGAACCGTGAATGGAGAGGTTAAGAACGCGATGTGATGCATGGTGACAGTTTTTCACTGTAACTCCTGAGTGTACAATTAGGAAAACGTCCATTTTTATTCGAATTTATGTTATATTCAACTACTTAGTTTTTATCTTATCATTGTTTTTACCATCATTATGTTCATAGAAAATGGCATTCAGAACATTTAGTGGAGCTTTTTTTCGGAGCATTCTATTGCTATTTTTCCTCTGAATATCCCAAATAGTAGGCCCTATTATGTAAGTTAAGTCGAGCGTCACTTCTGGTCACAGGTCCAATTTGATGTTACTTCTGTAATACCTAAATAACTGCACTAGTGAACAAAAGTGGCGCTCGACTCGACTTGCATAATAGAGGCCTATGATTTCAGTCGAGCGACCAAACCATTAGAAACCCCCAGACGAGGCCCCGTAACGAGGGTAGATCACCTTTTCGTGGTACGTTACGGGATGTAAGATCTACCACCGATTCCAAGTCCTGACTACTTAAAACTAGGGGAACAGGATTTTTCAGTAATCAAAGGAACACATCTTAGTCCTTGTTACTTTGTATGCCTTATGAATAGTGACAAGACTCAGCTTTGTCCACCGAGGATGATCTTGAAACACGGAAAAAATGAGTTAGTTAGTCTTCATCTTCTATTCGTTGTTCGCTACTTTTAAGTTGTTATGGCTAGGGTTCTGATGCATGGTCATTATCGGTGTCATTGCTTCATTTTGTTGCTATAGAATTTAATTTTGAATGACGAAGGGGTTCGCCTTTGGGGTGTTTTTAAATCTTAGAAAGGTATAAATAGCGGGACATTTCACTTAGAATCAAGTCCTTGCAATGAAGGCAAGAATTACAACTGTATCAAAACCGAACACTTCATAATTTCTCAATAGTGATGGAGTTATACGACATGCATTAAACTAAGGACACGGGATACTACAATAGATCAAATTATGTTATGTTCCGAATAGAGGAAAAAGAATATTTCCTGGCGAGACATTTTCCGTAGAAGAATATCACTATCGGTTGCTTTCAGGTCTATATAAACGGTATCTATCTGTGACAATGATTACAGTTTATTTTATGTATAAGGGAAATGGATGTAATGTCGGCCTAAATGCCCCTAATTTGGGCCCATACATAAATTCAGCAATTTTGACTAACTAAATTTTCAATAGCGACCAAAAATATCCATAAGTACCGGCCCAATGACGCATTCATCTAGATAAAATTGATAAATTGCAGGCCCAATCTTAGATCCATAGGCCAACACTAGAGCCATTTCCCCTACCTGCTTTACCTGAAACATTAACTGGGTTTTTAGTGGATCCTAAAAAAGATTTTAACTAGTTATGTCTAATAGTGAAAACTTAATCTAATCTGAATTCTTTTTAATTTGGATGTTCATGTCGGCAGCAGCTCACTGCTTGCGGGGAGCCTTTTGTTGTGTATTGGAGAACACCACCACTCACCACGCGGTAATTGAATAAACACCGTTTGGTGAGACCGGATGAAATTCAACTTTGAAATCTGTGTTAGGGAAATCATTTTCGCAGGCAATTGGTGATAATTTTAACAATTTTCAATAGTGACATTTTGAAAAATGATAAAGTCTTAAATTTAACAGATGTATCGAAATATTTCTGATCGATTTGGGATAAAATTATTGAAATTGGTCCAGGGGCAGCTGAATTATTAACGTTCAAAATTTTTCATAATTTTGTTACATGTTCCATTTTCGGTTTTCACAACGTGTACCCCCATATAGAAATCACAGACGTAGTCCTACGTCAAAAACCCGCCGGCCGGATGCGAAAAGTTTGTGTAAGATCGTTGGGCAGGCCTGACGTAGAAGAATGTTCTCGGATTATTTTGAAGATGCAGAAAGACTTGCTATTGTTGTTTATTGTTGTTTATTGTTTATTGAAAAATTCAACTGACAAATACTGTCTAAATGAATAAAACTTAAACTAAATAGTTACGGTCAACGGTACGGAAAAGGCCAAGTAGCCGATGACAAAACACGTCAGCTGATACATTGAAGTCGAACATATAAAAAATGTTGTTGAATTGCCGGCTGATTGCTCGAATTGGCTCGTGTTGTGTATAATTCCGGCTCCGTGGTTCCAAAAACAGAAAGTCGCGTTGACGAAGAGACCTCTCAGGGGCATACATATTTAGTTGTGACAGCAGTGTTGGGCAGTCAATGTCACCTGTAAGCAGCTTTCCAGCGTACATAGCTTGAGCGACCGTCCGTCTCACCTCTAATGGCTCGATTCCCAGGAGACGGCAACGCTCCTCGTACGGTGGCAAGTTCGTTGGGTCACGCCAGTTGAGTAAACGAAGAGCACATCTCACAAACTTGCGTTGAACGGATTCAATTCTAGTGATCCAGCTAGCATGGAAAGGGCACCAAACAACTGAACTTGACTCCAATAAGGATCGCACAAGCGAGCAGTAAAGTGAACTGAGACATAGCGGGTCACGAAACTCGTCGGCAATTTTGAAAATAAAGCCCAATTGTCGATTAGCTCTGGAGATGATGTCATTGTAGTGGATTCTGAAAGTGAGTCTGCAGTCCAAGGTAACGCCGAGATCCTTTATGTGCTCTACACGAGCAAGACAGCGTCCGTAGAGAACATAGTCAAACATGATTGGTTCAATTTTTCGGTGATATGAAATAATGTTACATTTTTCTATGCTTAGACTCATCGAATTTCTTGAGCACCAGTCAGCAAAAATACCTAACATATTCTGGAGATCCCAGCAGTCCGAGAGGCTTTTAATAACTTTGTAGATTTTCGTATCGTCTGCATAGAAAACGCGGCATCCTAATGGTATCAGCAAGGCGACATCGTTTAAAAAGATCGAAAATAGTAGCGGTCCTAGGTTACTGCCTTGCGGGACTTCCGAGTTGTTTGAGAAAACATCCGATTCCGACGCGCCAATCTTGACATGTACATAGCGATTCACCAAGTAAGATCTGAACCAATCCACAGCAGTTGACGAGATGCCAAGTATCTCCAGCTTGGCCAGCAAGATATTATGGTCCACCGTGTCAAATGCAGCTTTTAGATCCATATACGCAGTATCGACTTGCCATCATGTATCCATGCATCGCAGACAGTTAGAAGTGAACTGCACCAGGTTCGTGGACACGGAGCGCTTCGGGTAGAATCCGTGTTGTTCTGTATCGATATAATTTTTGCAGCATGCGAACAGAGCACCACTTATGATAATCTCGAACAGTTTTGAGCAGGCACACAGGGAGGTGATTCCACGATAATTTATGACATTCCGTTTATCTCCTTTTTTGTGCACTGGGAACAGATAAGAAAGTTTCCAGCGGCAGGGGAACTCACATTGCTGTGCCGAGAGCAATGGCAATTGGCTACACAACGTTTTAGAACTGATGACGGAATGCCGTCAGGTCCGGAGGCGAATGATAGCTTCAGCCTGCGTGTTGCGGCTATCACCATGTCTTCTGACTTGTGTTGGCGAAGCGGAGAAATCGTTGAACACTTGCTTGAAATGACGAGCAAACAAGTCACATTTTTCTCTTTCACTATTAGCTGAGTCATTCCCGAGAAACATGGAACAAGGCAACCCGGATTCCTTCCGTTTTGAGTTGACAAACGACCAAAAACTTTTCGGATTCGTGCGAAGGTTCGCTTCCGTGCGTCTCACGTGTCGATTATAGAGAAAACGATTGTAATTTCGATAACTACGACTCGCAAAATTGAACAGTCGTTTGTAGTACGGCGAGCGAGAGTTACAATACTTTCGGAGGGCGGCAGAGCGTTGACGTTTTAGCACGCGTAGGCGTGGGTTAGACCATGCAGGCTTTAGCGGAGGTCGTCGAGCTGGGACAATGCGGAAAATAGCATCTTCCAGTGCAGCACTGAAAAAATCCACTGCATCATTCACGCTAGCGGCAGTTTCGATAAATTGCCAATAAATTTCCGCAAGCGCATTGTTCAATGCAACATAATCGGCCCGGCGAAAGTCCAAAGAGTAGCACTCAGATGACGGCGTAAAAAGAATCGGCGCAGGTA